GTAGGAACACAGGCAAGCTCAGTTTTTGTTGTTTTTTGTTGTTTTTTTTTACAGTGTGGAGGGATTTCTGGTGAGGCTTACAAACATTGTCAAGATAAGGACGCAGATTGAAGGACATATTGTCTTGGTTTGAGTCAGTGGTAGTTCTAAATCAGGCTGAAACAATAGCTGTGAGGAGGCTGGTGGGTGGAGAGGAGAGCGATGCCTGAGACGTTTGAAAGAAAAGCCAAATTCCAAAGGGTTTTCTCAGAGCGAGTGAGAGATTCTGATGCAAACTGGAGCTAACAGGTTTTACCCACAAGCCTGTTTCTCCGGTGGTGGTACAGTAAAGACACACTTAAATTTATTACTCTGCTGTGGAGGCAACAGGCTCATACGTGTCCACAAAGTCTGTTCAAATGAAACTTTACAAATAGAGTCTGACCTACATAGACTCTACAGAAATATGGAATTTGACACAGAGCTTTGACTTCACATTTCCCCCACAGATCCTCTGAAGTTCTTACCTGGAAAGAGCAGAATGAGTTTAGTCCCCTTTCTCTGCAAATACACGTTACCCATGGGTCTTCCATATTGGCCAAACCCTATTTTTTATCACTGGTGCCCAAATAAAGCACATGATGTTCCCAGTGACCTGCCACCACAGACTGTATGAAGCGGACTGAGTGAGTGTGCCGTGACCTGTAGTGTTCAGCTCCAACCAAATGAAGCCCATCGAGGTGAGCGCTCATGGTCTGGCAGGGGGGCAGGTGCTTAACACTGTCTGTCAGACCTGTTGCCAACACTAGTGGGGGCTTCCTCGGGAAAAGAAGGCGCCTCATTGGTCTGTGATTAATGTTCATATGTTGATTTAGGACAAAATAGTGAAATAAAAACACTGATATCACCTATAGCGGGTTAAAATGACATTTTTAAGACCAAATTCAGGAGCTTGACTGTACCAGCAACAGAGAGAGAGCAACGGAGTCGATGGAGCCAGTTCATCTGTGCTTATTTCCTGTTTGTCCAGACCTGCTTAGCTTCTGAGAAATGCTGAGATCAGGTTTTGACAAGGATTTTTCACCACAATATGAGTGTAAAATCCCTCAGTCATCCAGGTAGAATCCATGACAAAGGAGAAATTCAATTAGTCAACTGGACAAAAGTTTATTTAGGTCGAAAACCTTTCGCAGCTCAACCAATCTGCTTCTTCAGTTTGTTTACAGTTTCTGTTAGTTAGATACAGATGAATAAGACTAGCCAACAAACAGAAACTGTAAACAAGTAAGTGTGTTAGTTTCAGAGAAGTTTCAGTATAATTAGCTCCTCCCTTTAGGAAGGTATAAGGAAGTGTCCACCAGCGTCTGACCAGAACTGAAGAAGCAGCTTGGATGAGCTGTGAAACGTTTTTGACCTAAATGAACGTTTGTCCAATTGACAAATTCAATTTCTCCTTTGCCATTTATCTGAAATGATTAATTATTGACATTTTGTGTTAACATACAACCATGTAACACTTCCCTTTACTTTGTGACACATTAGTGTGTTAAGAAAGAGCACACAGAGAATAAAGCAGCGCAAACAAATGTTGGTATCTAATGTCAGCACCAAATATGTCGATGAATTGTATCTATATGAACCGTTACTGATACTGAAACCGTTACAAAGTGCACCTCTGAAATGAAATTAAATACTGAAGCGTGTGTAAAATCCCAGTCATGCAGGTAGAATTGACAAATTTAATTTCTCCTTTACCACAATATGTCTCATGTTAAAATAATTTATAATTCAAAATATAAACCAAGCAAATAGATTAAGAAGTATTTATTAAAGTTTTTACAAATTTGCAAGCTGAAAAATTCAGTGTTAAATCATTATTCAGACATTTTCAAATCACTTTATGTTCCATAGTTTAAGGAGATGTTCAGGATTATTACTTCATATGAATACATTCACAACACTGGGCCATGTGCTTACTCAGCTTCCTGATTTGAGGGATACAGCACCAGCATCAGGTGTAGATTTGATTTTGAGTGGGTAGAGTGACTAAAATTAAGTATCATTTTATTTGTATTCATGTAATTAACAGCAAAATGCTCTGTGTGTAACCAGAACTGTTTTACAATTGAAGACATGTGGATTATTCCAAGGACGTTAAAATCATTTGCGAGCTGACGATGATTTCAGGCACTTATCAAGCCACAACGGTAAAGTCTGCCAAAGTCCTGTTACATTCTTCTGTACATCTTGATCTCTGTATGATTTGTTATTTCAGGTTGTGCATGTTCCCCCGTTCCCTCTGATCAGCCAGTGTGACCATCGGTGACTCTGCGGTGGATGTGGGGTGAGCTACACAGTGTCTGCCTGGTGTTCAAAAAGAGTTGGTATCAGATCATGAATATAGTCAAACATTCACAGTATTGTCAGTTGATTACGAGCACACAGATCACTCCAGACAAAGTCCATATGACAAAGCTTTACAAAACATCAGGTTATAACAAAGAAAAACTGGCATTACGACTTAAGTATGTACAGCAGAACTCTAAAGAACCTGATTCAACGCACATCCGGGAAAAGTCACTCCCTCAGTTTAAGGCAAAGTCTCTCTGCACAGGTCTAATGTATGAAGTGCAGACTGGAGATCTGTACATGTATGTACATGTGTGTACTTCTGTGTACATGTGTGTACATGTGTGTACATGTGTCTGAGGACATGCTGAGGGGTCATGGGGCTGAGGAGCTGCTTATGGAAAAGAACAACCTACAGACACAGAACAGAGGAGAGGTCAGACCTGTAACAGCGCCCGAGGTCAGACATGCACTGTGCAGCTCCGCTCTGGTGGCTGCAGGACTCCTGACTAATTAAAAGTAACGAGAAGAGCTCAGACTACAGGCGGTGCAGTCTGGCGCTGCCCACAGAGGCGCTGCAGAGCTCTGGATTCTGTCTGTTGGAAGCCTGTTGCAGCTTTTTGACTTCATACGCTTCAAAGGCAGTGACCACAGCAGCACAGTGGGGCTCTGAGAGTCACACCACAAATAAACTTCTCCCCATCGCAGTTGGACCTCTGGAGTCTGAGCGAGGTGTTACATTAAACCAGAGGAACAGTGGTCTGCTCTCCTGCCTCCATAAGGAGCAGTGTCTCCCCATGTTTTCATGCATTTTCTCTTCACCCATCGACTAAACACATGCATGTGTGAAATGTTTACAATGTGAATCCACTGAACATTTCCAGAAACCCCTTGCCTGAAGTTAGTGAGAGGCTGAGCAGATGACAACTTTCTAAAGTACAGTGGAACAGTTTGGAGCTGCACTTCTAAATATTACTTATACATGCACTTCGCTGATTCGGTGCAGATATGACTCAGGCCTTTGTGAGTCATCCAAAGGTCACTAGCAGAGCCAGTGAATCCACACACTTTAATATTAGGAGCAATATGCCACTTCTGAAGAGCGCTCGCAGCTGTCAGCCAAAACCTTTCAAGGAGGTAATTACATCTACGTCTCTAAAAAGAAACTTTATGGACATAGAATAAAATAACAAACTGAACATTTGTGAATTCAAACCAGCACAGCCTGGAGTTGTATGGAATCTGATGGACTGTAAATGCATTGTTTATGAGTTCATATTGATTTCACGTGAAGAATATTTGAAAAAGAAACCAGTAAATGTAATATTCTGGAGACCATGAAACTGCCAACTGTCTTCTGTACATCTTCACCTAAAAGTACAATTCCAGTTTGTATTAATAAGAACATGTTTAAAAGCTCCAAAAGTCTGAGAGAAGTCCATCATCTGAAGTTTCTCAGATGTTAAAGTCATGTTCATAGATGTAGCCCTCTGCCCCATAAGTGGAATCTTCTGTGATGTCTGCAGAATCTCCTGATGTCCATCACGAAGTCTGTAAACCTCCCTGGCAAAGTCTGCCATTTGGATTTACATTTCAAATAAGGAACCGACACCACCGCACGGAGGTCCTACGACGTGGTGTAGACGATGTCAAAGATGGTGACCGCTGCACTGAGGTTCAGCATAGACGATGTCCAGTGTATGATGCAGATGATGACCAGTGTTGAGACCCTCAGTGGTGTTGAAAATAACGACTAAAGCCAAACAGAGGCTGAGTTCTTAGAGATGAAGTTAGAGTATGGACATGTCCTACAAAAATGGTGGAGATGAAGACTAGCGCTATAGAAATGGTTTTAAGATGAACAAAGAGGATGAGCACTGTGTATGTGTAGTAGAGAGTGGTCCAGATGAAAACAAGCGATGGCGATGAGTGGAGTAGATGACCACTTCATCTGCAGTGGTACAGATGAAGACAAAGAGGATGATAAGTGCGCTCAGCTCCTACAGAGTGGACCAGACGAAGAGCAGAACTATAGAGTGGTGAAGATGTAGACAAAGATGATCACTGTTTTGGGGTAGTACAGGAATGCAGATGGAGACCTACTGTGATGCAGAAGAAGATGTAGGTGTAGAAGATCGCTGTTTTTGGTGTAGTACAGCAGTGGAGAAGACCAGTGCTACAAAGTGGTGCAGAGGACGATGTAGACTACAGGATGTTATAGATGAACATGATCTTGGCGTCATACAGTGGTGCAGATGAAGATCAGTGCTACAAAGTTGTGCAAATGAAGGTGTAGATGAAGAAGACCACTGTTTTTTGGTTTAATACAGTGGCGCAGATGAAGACCAGTGCTTCAAAGTGGTGGAAATGAAGATGCAGATGAAGAAGACCACTGCTGTTTTGTTTAATACAGTGGTGCAGATGAAGACCAGTGCTACAAACTTGCCCAAATGAAGATGTTGACAGAGAAGACCCCTGTTTTTGGTTTAGTACAGCGGTGCAGATGAAGACCAGTGCTTCAGAGTGGTGCAGATGAAGCCCTGTGCTATACAAACGTGCAGAAATGAAGATGTAGACGGAGAAGACCACTGCTTTTGAGGTAGAACAGTGGAGCAGATGAAGACCAGTGCTACAGAATGGCCGACTACAGCATGGCGTAGATGAAGAGCGGACTACAGGGTGGTGTAGATGTAGACGAAGATGATGACCAGCAGGTTGAGGATGGTCCCGATGATGCCTAACATGGCCAGGATGCTCTCCTCCTTGCTCTCCTTGTCTGAGCTTCCTCGTTCCTCATCACTGTAGACGGTGTTGACCATTGTCCCTGGGAAAGGCTGCCGCTTACTTCTCGCACCAGTCTGAGGAAACAACACAAGAAACTACGGTCAGGCATTTTTAAAGGACAAATATGGTGCTTTATTTGTACCGTCACTGGCCTTATACGTACACATGCTCTTGAGAACCTTTGCTTTGTGCATTGTTTTAGAACTTAGGTCCTGTATTGTGCAAATTTGACTCCTTTGAGCTTTAAGAGTTTCAGGCGAGGATTATGGACAGGTGAAGACTTTTAGAGTTTTAAGTTTTAAATTATAATGTTCCCTCCTCACAAACATTCCTGGAGTTGTTTTGTTTCATTCACACATGTTTGAGTAACACTTTATTATTTCTCTACAAAGCTCAAAATGCTCTGTTCCACCTTGTGATGTCATGAAATTGTAGTTTTCAAGTTCCTAAAGTTTTTATCTTTTGTTTCGTTGAGATCGGCAATTCCAGGTCTGAAATGATCCAAATGATTCTAGTGAAGGTGTATGGAGTTTAAAAACACAATGGAGCACTTCCTGTATTATCACATGTCATCACAAGGTGGAACAAACCACGTTCAGACCGCGGCGTCAGGGCGTGGAGATTAAATGTAATGTCTATAGTGGCCATCCTGCGCTTCGGTCGCCATCGGTTAATGCAGTGTGTCGAAAAGTTCCGCTTTTTCAGCTCAGGCGTCAGGAGCTGTGCACATCCACTTTTGCCCTTTGAGGCACCGCAACAACCAATCAGGGGCTACTGTCCAGAGACGTAGTGATGTCATTGTCTGGAAGAAGGAGAAGATTCAGGAGCCAGTGATAAAGCTGGCCAAACTCGGAACGCCTCTGAATTATGTCATGGAAGCAGAAACAGCACCGCCAGTCGCCTTCACTGGTGGGTTTTATAGTCTCCCTAGTTTGCCATCATTTTGAAGCCACAACAGACCCCCCCTGGACGCCCGCCCAACGTGTCTGCCCTCAAATGCAAAGGTGTCCAACATGTGTGAATGAAACAAAACACAATTCCAGGAAACAATATTATAACACAAATCAGAAAATAGTATAATATGGAATCATCAAATAATGACAATATATAGAACAAGACATTATTTTCCAGTTTTAGTGCTCTCCATACAGAAATCTGTTGTAGGGCTCCATCTTCTTCCAGCAAAGAGAATTACAATGGTGAACAAAACTATTAGGAACTTGCCCTGACGTGCATATATACAGTAAGCTCGCAGTTATAATGAAGCTGGTTAAAAGCTCAATAACGCTGTGTCCTCAAAAAATAAAATGATAAGAATAGAATGTAATGTGTAATAATAATAAATTAGAGTGGGGATGAAAACGTCTTGACAACCAAAAAGACAAACCAAGATGCAAATGCACAAAAGCCTAGAGGCCGATCCTAATTCGAGCTGATCCACAGTGTTCACACCAGACAGACTGTCACCTGCACTCACCACTCCCGCTCTGATGAGACTGAAAAACACTCACATGAGCTTTCACTGCCCATTTATACACCTCCTGGATTTTATTTAGTTTTTTATGATTTTTGATTTGTTTATTTATCTAATTAATTGCACATTTGAGTGTCTTCTTTTCCAGAGCTCAGAATATTCGGGTGCCGCTGACGTCCTTCTGACTGGTTCAAATTATCTTCACAACAAAACTCCTTTTCTCTCTCTTCAGCAGAGGAACAGTTCAAATAGGGCTAAAAACAGTAGCCAGGGTTCCCACAGTCATAGAAATAATGGGTAATAATGGGAAATAATTTTTGTTCCATGTTTCATTCATGGTCTGTTTAAAACGTATGTAACTTTAGAACCAAAAATGGTACAGAAAAAAGGTCAACAGTTTCATAAACTAGAGTACATATGTATCTGTTGAATACATTTTTATATCAGATAATAACTTGAATTTTTGGCCTGGCTGTTTACTTCTGCTTGACCGGGCCCCGTTGTAGAAGTAGGTCTAGTTGCAGTCATAACAGTTGCAATAGTAGTAGCAGTAATTATCGCAGTAGTAGTTTCTGAGGAGATTTGTACTGTAAACACACACACACACGTTGTATTGAAAGATAAAGAACTAAAATAATGTTGTAATGCTGTTTGTTCCAAAACAGAAAAGCTCAAACACCAAAAAGGTCAAGTACTAACAGCCTGCGGATAAAACAGAAGTCACTGGAAAATACACATTCAAGTTTTATGGAGCTCTTGAAATGATTTAATGAAATTTATGAAGCAAAGTATTTTATAATGTTACTCGACACTCACAAAAAGAGAGAGACATCAGAGGGAGGTCAGGGGTCTGCAGGTGTCGTTTATCTGAATACTAAGTAAGAATACACATTTGGTGCCTCCTTTCGGTGAGAAAAATGTTGATAAGTACTTTACAGTTTTTGAAAGAATTGCTGAAACATTAAAATGGCCAAAGGACGTGTGGACTTTATTGTTGCAAAGTATTTTAATTGGTAAAGCACAGGAGGCCTACGCTGCTCTTTCTGCTGAGGAGAGTTTGGATTTTCAGAAGGTTAAATCTGCTATTCTCCTGCTAATGAACTTGTCCCAGTAGCAAACCTACAAAAGAGAACAAAAATAAAAAATATCTTCAACCCCGTGTCCTTCGTAAATATGTTTTGATCCTTGGGTCGTAACATAAAGACGAGGTAATATGTTAAATTGACTTTTTGGAATTTTCTACCATGTTACGACGTCGTTCCCTCATTAAAAACAGGTCTGAAGAGGTTTTAGATGTCGTCCATGCATGTTTGGGCAATCTAGAGATCTCTCCTGGGCCCTGTTAAAGCAGTACAAGCTTGTCCAAGACCCACAAGTCCACCTAATTCCTGCTCCCACACGGCCAGGAGCGCAGTGGGCATCGTACCCATCTTTCCGACGTGAGATATAAAAAAATAACAAATATAAAATAGCTACAACTTAAATGTCAAACCGAAACTACTGACAACGGTGAAAACAACCTGCACAGGCTCATGATATCTGCACTACTGTCCACTGACCTGCCACATGAAGAACCAGGACTAAACGAGGACTGAACTAGGACTAAACCAGGACTGAACTCAGGACTGAACCAGAAGGACTAAACTAGAACTAAACCAGAACTGAATCAGGACTGAGTGTCTGGACGGGCCCTTATGTGCGGGTGACCGCGGGCGAAAGGACCTGCGTAGCCATCGCCTGATCACGCTTTGCCGACACCCTGCTCCACAGCTCAGGGTTCTCTCTCTCGCTCTCAAGTCCAAGATTAATCTTGGTTTACTCCTTGTTTAGACCTGCTTTAGTTCTGGTTTAGTCTTAGTTAAGTCCTAGTTTAGGTCTGTTTTAGACCTAGTTTATTACTGTTTTAGTCCTAATTTAGTCCTGTTTTTGTCCTAGTTTGGTCCTGGTTTAGTCCTGTTTTAGTCCTCTTTTAGACTTGTTTTAGACATAGTTTAGACCTAGTTTAGTCCTGGTTTAGTCCTGGTATAGACTTGGTTTAGACCTGGTTTACTCCTGGTTTGGACCTGGTTTAGACCTGATTTAGTCCTGGTTTAGACCTGGTTTAGACCTGGTTTAGACCTGGTTTAGACCTGGTTTTACCTGGTTTGGACCTGGTTTAGACCTGGTTTAGACCTGGTTTAGACCTGGTTTAGACCTGGTTTACTCCTGGTTTGGACCTGGTTTAGACCTGATTTAGTCCTGGTTTAGACCTGGTTTAGACCTGGTTTAGTCCTGGTTTAGACCTGGTTTAGACCTGGTTTAGAACTGATTTAGACCTGATTTAGTCCCGTTTTAGACCTGATTTAGTCCTGATTTAGTCCTGGTTTAGACCTGGTTTAGTCCTGGTTTAGTCCTGGTTTAGACCTGGTTTAGACCTGGTTTAGACCTGGTTTAGACCTTGTTTAGTGTCCGGCAGTGAGTGGAATTATGGGAAAAAAATAAAAAGGGGGATATAGCCCAAAATGTAAAAACAGTATCCACTTATGTCATCAAAGTAACTGTAATCCAATTACCACTCATTGAAACAGTAACTGTAACTGAATACAGTTACTCATAATTTGTACTCTGATTCCGTAACTCTGGTACATGTAATCTGTTACTCCCCAACACTGACTATAATTGTTTTTGAAGCTTTGCACGTCTGGAACATTTGCGTGGTTGTGATGAAGTGTGCAGTCTGAGTATCGATTTGCTCCGTGTGCGTGTGGAGATGCTCCATGTGTGCGTTGGCCTTCAGCGGCCCGTGTCCAGTCCGTCTCCGGAGATCTGCGCTCGTTCACGGGTCAGCGAGCTCTTCTACACCGGCTAACAACTGCAAAACACGCCACCTAATGCAGGCTAAAAATACTGAGGCTGGAGCAGAGACGGCGGAGTAAGAACAGTCTGATGGAAGGTCAACAAGTACACAAACACGCAGTACAAATACACAAGTTTCAGGCGGGACTGGGGGGTAGAACGAATATTTTTGAGCTCTCAGCCTTGAATGAAGAACAATACAGGATTAACTCTAACGTCCACGAGTCTAAATCTGCTGGATTTAGCTGGTTTAGTTCTGGTTTAATCCTGGTTTAGTCCTGGTTTAGTCTGGGTTTAGTCCAGGTTTAGACCTGGTTTTAGGTTTAGACCTGGTTTTAGTTCTGGTTTAGACCTGGTTTAATCCTGGTTTAGTCCTGGTTTAGATCTGGTTTAGGTTTAGTCCTGGTTTTAGTTCTGGTTTAGACCTGGTTTTAGTTCTGGTTTAGACCTGGTTTTAGTTCTGGTTAAGTTTTGGTTTAGACCTGGTTTAGTCCTGGTTTAGTTAGACTGGTTTAGTTTTAGTTCTGGTTTAGTTTAGTTCTGGTTTTAGTTCTGGTTTTAGTTCTGGTTTAGACCTGGTTTTAGTTTCTGGTTTAGACCTGGTTTTAGTTCTGGGTTTAGATCTGGTTTTTTAGTTTCTGGTTTAGACCTGGTTTTTAGTTCTGGTTTAGACCTGGTTTTAGTTCTGGTTTAGACCTGGTTTTAGTTTTGGACCTGGTTGTAGTT